AAAAAAAAAAAAAAAAAAAGATAGCACCGAACCCTGTATATGCTATGTTTTTTTCATCTTATAACCCAGACAGCCACTAAGTGACTAACCAGCAGCTAGTGAGTATACAGTGTGGATGAACAGAGGAATGATTCACGTCCCGGGAAGATGAGAGGATGGCATGAGATTTCAGCACACTGCTTAGAATGGAACACAACTTAAAATTTATAAATTGTTTATTTCTGGAATTTTTCATTTAATATTTTCACACTGCAGTGGCTGACTAGCAGGTAACTGAAACTGCAGGGTGAAAACTTGGATGAAGAAGGACTATTGTAATTAACCTTTTTCCTTGGTTAGCTTATCGATGAATGTGTTTCCCATGTTTAGGTTACTAAACACAGTACTTTTTTATGCTATACCATAGATTTTATTTTTGTTTTTTTTCCCTGTGATGGTGTTTTGCCCTGTCACTCAGGCTGGAGTGCAGTGGTACATGATCTTAGCTCACTGCAACCTCCGACTTCCAGGTTCAAGCGAGTCTCCTGGTTCAGCGTCCCGAGTAGCTGGGACTACAGGCTTATGTCACCACACCTGGCTAATTTTTGTGGTTTTAGTAGAGATGGGGTTTCATCATGTTGGCCAGGATGATCTCGAACTCCTGGCCTCAAGCAATCTACCCGCCTTGGCCTTCCAAAGTGTTGGGATTACAGGTGTGAACCACTGTGCCTGCCCTATACCATAGTTTTTGAATTAGTATATACATACGCATACACACACACACACACACATTTTATTTTTTTTAATTTTTTTTTTTTTGAGATGCAGTTTCTTGTTGCCCAGGCTGGAATGCAGTGGCACAATCTCATCTCACTGCAGCCTCTGCCTCCCGGGTTCAAGCATTTCACCAACCTCTGCCTCCCGGGTTCAAGCGTTTCACCTACCTCAGCCTCCCAAATAGCTGGATTACAGGCATGTGCCACCACACCCAACTAATTTTGTATTTTTAGTAGAGATGGGGTTTTACCATGTGGTAAATGGTTTTACCATTTAGGCTGGTCTGGAACTCCTGACCTCAGGTAATCCACCCGCCTCGGCCTCCTAAAGTGCTGGGATTACAGGTGTGAGCCACTGCGCCTGGCCTGTCTTTTATTTTAAAAATATTTACTAAATGGCATTTAAGTAGGCAAGTATGAATATGCGTTTCACAAAAGTTAATTCACTTATACATTTGGCAAAGCACTGTTAATATAATATTGTAATCTCAGAATATAAGCCTCGGTCTTTCAATGTGTAAAACTTAATAGGAGAATCTATAACTGGTGATTTTAAATAGTTAATAAAACTTCTAAAGATGCCTAACTATCCTGAGGTGTGGGGTGGTTGTGGGGCAACATGGAAGTGAATATATTTAAAGAAAAGCTATGTCTGCTGGTGTCATGCAGTAGTGTATATATATATATATAATTTATGAGCTTCTATATAATAATATATATTAACATATATGACATATATATATATATATATATATATATATATATATATAATTTATGAGGTTCTAGACCAATTTGTTGAAAAAACAAGCTGGTAGTCTTTGAGACAAAAATTTTTCCCCCAATTCTTTTTATTTTATATATTTTTTGAGATGGAGTCTCGGTCTGTTGCCCAGGCTGAAGTACAGTGGCATGATCCCAGCTCACTGCAACCTCTGCCTCCGAGGTTCAAGCAATTCTCCTGCATCTGCCTCCTGGGTAGCTGGGAATACAGGCATGTGCCACCATGTATGGCTAATTTTTTGTATTTTTAGTAAAGACAGGGTTTCACCATGTTGGTCAGGCTGGTCTCGAACTCCTGACCTCAAATGATCTGCCCATCCCAGCCTCCCCAATTCTTTTATGTGGTCTGCATTGTGTGTCTATACTCAAAATATTCTGCTCTATCATTATATGTTGGATGACTTTAAAAGAATTACATCACCATGTCTGATGATGATATTGTTTCAGTATATTAGATCTGAGTATTATGCCAGATATTAGATTTTCAATTGAATACTTTAAGGATTAAATTATTAACAGTGGTTAGACATAGTGAGACCTTGTCTCTACAAAACAGTTAAAAAAAAAATTAGCCAGGTATGGTGGCACACATCCATAGTCTCAGCTACTCTGGAGGCTGAGGCAGGAGGACTGAATTATAGCCAGGAGGTCAAGGCTTCAGCGAGCCTTGGTTACACCACTGTACTCCATCCAGCATGGGTGACAGAAACCCCAACAACAACAACAACAACGTGGTTAGAAAGACCTTTGTCTAAATCTAAAGAATTCATTGCTTGCTAAATTGACTTTTCCTGTTTATCATCATCAGAAAATTTACAAATAAATGTTTTTTTTTTTATTTGGCTTTCAATCTGTTACATGATGATATAGCTATTTCATGTATATGTAGATATATATACACACACACATATATATACATATACACATATATATATGCCAGTATACAAAGTACAGTAATGTTTTCTTAATGCACTTATTGTACTTTGTATATTGATTTACTGAAAAGTATTTTTGTAAGTAGGCTGGGATTATATCTAGGAATTAGAATCAAGGAAATATATACAAAATCTTGTTTATCTTCCTTCGTAGATATTTGGGCAATAGGTTGTATATTTGCTGAATTGTTGACTTCAGAACCTATTTTTCACTGTCGTCAGGAAGATATAAAAACAAGCAATCCCTTCCATCACGATCAACTGGATCGGATATTTAGTGTCATGGGATTTCCTGCAGGTAATTTATTTTCCTTTTTAGAGTCATATTTTGAGTCATATTTCAAAATCATTCCTTCTCAAAAGCATATTTTAATGTATAGTTTTAAACTAAAATAATTAGATTTTAAATTAACACATTTTTTTCTAAAATATTTAATTTTTTTTGTAAGACAAAGACTGGGAAGATATTAGAAAGATGCCAGAATATCCCACACTTCAAAAAGACTTTAGAAGAACAACGTAAGTAATTCCACATTGTCTTCATCTTTTTGTGCTGCTATAAAAAATACCTTAGACTGGGTAATTTATAAACAACAGGAATTTGTTTTTTCCCAGTTCTTAAGGCTGGGAAGTCCAAGATCAAGGCACCGGCATGTTTGGTATCTCATGAGGGTTGTTTTCTGCTTCTAAGGTGGCTTCTTGTTGCTGTTTCCTCATGTGGTGGAACGTAGAAGGGCAAAAAAGGGCAGATGCTGTGTGATGCCTCTTTTACAAGGCAATAATCCTGCTCATGGAAGCAAAGCCCTCAATTTAGGAAGGACTCATCTTCTAATACTGTTAAATTGGCAAATTAAGTTTCAACGTGAATTTTGGAGGGTACATAAACATTAAAACCATAGTGCACATTTTTTATAGGTAATAATTTCAATGGGAATATTTAAATTAATCTTTTCAAAAAACAGATGTAGATTATTATTTAAACTAGAAACTGAGATTTTAGTATATTAATTATGCCTGTGATTTAAAGAAGATACTCCAGATACTGTTAACATATATATAGTTCAGGTTGAGGCTGCAGTATTAAAAACTTAAGAATTTAAGGATCAATAGGTAGTTTGTATCTGTTATGTTTTAGAATGAATAGAGGTCTCAATTCAAGGCCACAGCTGTGATTTCATCTTTATCTGAGTAATGGCTGGTGACTGACAGGCTGGACTAGGAAACCTGGAAGGCTGGCAGAAGGAAGAACACATGCCTGGAATATGAGTAAAACGAACTGATGAAGGCATTTACTTTGAGCAAAAATGAGATTAAGGGTGATGGCAGGTGAGGAGTTTGTTATAAATAGGCACCCCTGCTGAAAATGGTGGAGGAGGTTCTCTATGGGCAACTTACCAGGAAAATTTCAGGACAGGATGGCTTATAGGAACAAAAGCAGACATCATAAAGAGAAGTAGAGAATGGCATTGATCATTTCTGGCCCCTTGTTCTCACAATCCTTGGTGGAGTTCTTTGCCTCTATCCATTTCTTAAGGATAGTGCTGATATCAGTGCTCTATCCTGGGCTGTCTTCTCACTCTAGAGATTTTCTTAGTCAGAGTCCATGATTTTGATTGCCACAATTTAACCATCAATTATGTAGATAAATCCAAATATGTATCTTACTCAGTTCACTTTTCCAAGTTTCAAAATCATTTATCTAATTGCCTTGTGGAATCCCAACCTGAATGTTCTATAAGTTCTTTAAATCAAACATCCAAAACAAAACTGGTTATTTTCATTTAACATTTGATTATACCCTTGCCAACAAGGTACAACCCATTAGGGTGGTACCAGCAAGGGTACAATAAAGTGGACATTCTGGCCAGGCACAGTGGCTCACTCACACCTGTAATCCCCACACTTTGAGAGGCTGAGGTGGGAAGATCTCTTGATCCCAGGAGTTTGATACCAGCCTGGACAACATAGTTAGATCCTATTTCTATTTTTATTGTAAAAAAATTAATACTCATGTGCTACTGGTGAGGATGAGTACTTCTCAAACTTCATTGTACCTACGAATCACCTGGAGACCTTGTTAAAAATGTAGATTCTGAGTCAGAATCAGGGGTAAGGACTAAGAATCTTCATTTCTAATATAGGTTGTCAGGTGATGCTCAGATTGCTGGTAAGGGCTACATTTGTGTGGCGAGATTCTAGAGCACCTAAAAAAGGCTTTAAAATGTGCATGCCCTTTGACCTGATAATTCCTGGAATTTATCCTGTGGAAAAATCAGAGTGGCCACAAATAGCTGAGTACTTATTTTATACCAGGGTAGTGCTAAACCCTCCACCTACATTTTTTCATATAATTTTCATAGCAAATCTATAGGGTAGGTATAATTACAGTGTCCACTTTTCACATTCAGAACCTAAGGCTTTCATAGAGGTTAACTAACTTGCACAAGATCACAGAATTGGTAAATGATTGAATCAGGGTCTAGTAGGGGTCTGAGTCTCACCTACTAGAGTATCAGCTCCCTGCCATGCACATGAGATTTAGTTACAAGGACTTGTCTGCCATAGCTCTTAGAAAAAAGTAATACCCGTGCCAGTAGGAGATAGGCAGCCACTCAAAGTAGTAAATTTGAAGAGTATTTGACAGGGCAAAATGTTTATGGAACAATATTAAATAGAAAGGTAAGACAATTTTTATAGTAGGATTCCAATTTTATGAAAAAAAGCAAAAAAAAAATCTGTTTATACCATATATATAAAGGCGCACGCGTGCGTACACACACACACACACACACACACACACACACACACCCCAAAGGGACATTATAAAAATTTTGTCAGTGGTTTCTTGTCACTGAGTGGCTTGTGAGTGATTTTAATTTTCTTCCTTATACTTTCTGTATTCTGTAATTTTTTTTTATCATGAAACATATGTTACCTATTTTTAGACCTTTTAATTTGAAATATTTCATATGTAGGAAAGAATATATAATGAAAAAATACATAGTGTATTTAGAATAATAAAGTAAATATCCTTTTGTTCACCTCTGAACCTAAGAATTAGAACATTACTAAGATTACTGAAGTACCCGTATGCCTCATCTCCCTAGCCACATTCCTCCAGAGGGTAGACTCGATGAGTGTTCTGCATTTGGGTTTGTCATCCGACAATTTTTATGATAGTTCTAGTTCACATGTATGTATCTTGAAAAATTACTCTTCAGTTTATTGTCCTTGAACTTTTTATAAATGGTAACATAGTATGTATTTTCTTCTGCAACTTGCTTTTTCTCATCACTCTACCTTACATATTCATTTTTACTGTTGCGGAACATTCCATTCTGCGAGTATATAAAAATGTACCCATTCTTCAGTTGATGGACATTTGGGTTATCTTCATTTTTGTTTATTTGTTAGTTTTTCTGCCATTACTAAAACGCTGCTAAGAACATTCTTATCCATGTATCCTGATTTACATGTACAAAAGCATCTCTTAGGCTTAGGTATGTGCCTAGAAATGGAGTTGCTAGGTATAGGCTATACACATTTTCAACACTAATGATTAATGCATAACTGTTTTCCAAAGGCATCGTAATGGTATAAGCTCTCATGTTGTGTGTGACATTTCCTATTTCTTCACACATTTGCTAATATTTGGCAATGTATTCCTCCCAATCAGAAACAACAATGGCTTAAACACATACCTTATAGGAAAACCCATCTTGAAGCTTATCATTAAAAAATAGCAATTGGATGAGTGTTCCTAGTGATGTGTGACTGTGCGTGTCCTTGCAGGTATGCCAACAGTAGCCTCATAAAGTACATGGAGAAACACAAGGTCAAGCCTGACAGCAAAGTGTTCCTCTTGGTAGGTGCTTCTCTCCCAGACTGAAATCTGATCCTTGGTGCAACTCTTGCCTTCTCCTATTTACTCAGCTATTCCTCCTCTTTAGAAACTAAAGAAATTGGTGGATGCTGGGGCAAAATTAAACATTTTTTTGTTATGATGTCACCCTTGACTTCCAGCGTTAAATTTTTAAATGATTTATCAGCAGAAAATGAACTTTAAAATGGCTTTAATGCTGATGATTTCTGCCAGTTTCACATAAAAGTATGTAGTATGTATAATCTGCAGTGAGCTATACAAAATATATTTTATATTAATCCTGTTACACAGTGATACAAAAGACAAGGTGTTGACTTGTAAACAACCTTTTCGTGTGTTGTAAATTTCCTGTGTGTCACTCTAGCTTCAGAAACTCCTGACCATGGATCCGACCAAGAGAATTACCTCGGAGCAAGCACTGCAGGATCCCTATTTTCAGGAGGACCCCTTGCCAACATTAGAGTATGTATCTCATCTTTTCTGTGTCCTTTGCTCCAGGCCGAAGATGTCGCATGGTGGTTGAAAGCAAGGGAAGTACTTGCTACTGAAGTATTCAACTTTTTTAGCAATACCACCTAAAGACTGCTTGAGAGAAAGCTTCCACATTTTGAAACAGGCAAAGCTGTAGAGAGGTATGAATGAAAACAAGTGTTTTAGGAATGACCATTTGCAGTTTTACGGATGAAAACTAAAGCTGAGACTAGTTAAGATCTTTATAGACCATTTGGCTGGATCAGAAATTCAGTGAAACCAGCAGGTAACTGCGAAGTTAATGTGTCTTCCAGAGCATGTCCATTGCGCTACAAAACCCCTGTACTTCATCCTTCTTACCCCCAAGTATATACTTTGTGTTTTCATCTACAAGAGGTGCAGTTTTTCTTGTTAAAGCAAATACAAATTATTTTTGGTGCTAATGAAGTTAGTACAGAAAAACTTCTATGTCCAATATGTCAACTAGCTAGCAGCAGTCAAGATTTGAAATTGAAAGTAGCAATTATTATAAAACTTCATACAATTGATTGTTCTTTTCTTATTGCTTAAGTTGTGATAGGAGGCACATAGCAAACACCAGCCACAGATGAAGAGTAGGAAATAAGTGAAGAAAAACACACTGGAATTTTAAATTAACAAGGTAATGATATTATAGATTTTAGATCATGATATATATTTTTTTCTTTTTAATGATTTTTAGTGTATTTGCTGGCTGCCAGATTCCATACCCCAAACGAGAATTCCTTAATGAAGATGAACCTGAAGAAAAAGGTGACAAGGTATAAACTGCATGCTATACTTTCACTTCCAAAGAGCGAGGGAGGCAAAAAGATAGCTTAGGTGTCACTCCATAATTCCTGTATATTTAACGACCTTTTCTAATATTTAATTAAATTTTTATGTATCTTTCTGTGGAAGTTTGGGGATTGTAAAGGTGCCCTGAAGTTTGAAGTATGAGCAGCTCGCAGACACCTGAGCTTCCCGGTGTGTGCCCCAGCCTGTTCCACTCCTGGAGTCCCCCTTCTTGCTCTTGCTGTTCGTTTGCTGTCACTGCCACCCCTTTATGCAGGCTGACTTTTGCAAGCATCACCCTATTCTTCCCTCTTAACTGGATATATTGGCTCACTCTCCAGACTGTTCTGCCTTTCCGGAATCATGATTAAAAAGATTTCTTATAGCTTTTTGTGAGCTGTAAGAAGTATATTTCTGATGTGCCTGTGGCTGTCTGTGACTGTTTTGGAGGATCACTGTGCAATCTAAATGAACTTCAGGGCGGGAACCCTATTTGAGGCTTGGCGCCCTGCCCTTTGGGAGCACCGAGCTCCCTGGCTGCTCCATCCTCCTGTCCTCCCAGTCACTCTAGTGTTGGACATAGATTGCTCCCCCAGGTTGGTCAGCAGCCTCATATGCATATCAAATAATTAAAGAAAGTTTTTGTTAATTTGGTTTCATACCAAGCTTGCTTCTTTCCCCTTAAAAGAATCAGCAACAGCAGCAGAACCAGCATCAGCAGCCCACAGCCCCTCCACAGCAGGCAGCAGCCCCTCCACAGGCGCCCCCACCCCAGCAGAACAGCACCCAGACCAACGGGACCGCTGGTGGGGCCGGGGCCGGGGTCGGGGGCACTGGAACAGGGTTGCAGCACAGCCAGGACTCCGGCCTGAACCAGGTGCCTCCGAACAAGAAGCCACGGCTAGGGCCTTCAGGCGCAAACTCAGGCGGGCCTGTGATGCCCTCGGATTATCAGGTACTCCCTGAATGACTAATGTTCATATGCTTTATGAAGTGGGAATAGATGTATACTAGATCCTGTTAGAGTTAGGCAACACTTAACTCTTACATTTGACTGTGCCACCTGTACAATCCTATTTCTAGGGCATTCTTTGAAAAGGAAGATTTTCATCGTATTTCATGTAATTGTAAGATATCTCATATTCTGCCTTATGTATCCTGAAACCCTTAGGAGAGGAAGGTAGGGAGGGCAGCGACCCCCTCCTTAAAGAAAACTTCATCATTTTACCCTTACATCTGCCTTAGCAGTTTTGGTGCAGGTATTAGAAAAAGATACATAGATAAGCAATTGAAAAGAGGAGGTGAGTGGTTGCTTACTATGGACAAAATTAATTGCATTCTTCAGACAGATACACTCTTCCTGGGAGAAAATAGCTACATAGATGAAAAAGAGAAGGGGGCTAAGACTGAGGCTTCTCTGAAATAACTGTTAAGTCTCAATAGAAATAATTTTGAGACTAGAAAATACTTACTGTTATTCAGATAAAAAGAGAACACCAATTGCAGTACTAATTCAGGAAATTAAAAAAACTAAGTTTAAGGATTGGTATTTGGAGAGAAAGGTAAAAATACCCATTGTGATAACTGTAGGAAATCTCGAAAAATAAAATTCTTTTCAAGGTAGTAACAAGTTAAGAAAACATCCAAGAAGAAGGGAAACTTAAATTTTTTTTTTTTTTTTTTTAAGTTTAGAATCACAGTCCCTCAGGGAACTCTTGGAGATGAGTACTTAGGATAGAGTTAATAGAAAACAGAACCTCTGGCAAGGGAGTCATAAACTCACTGATAAGGAACTGCAGTAAAGAGAAACGTTAACAAGAAAGACATAACAAATAGCTGCCTAAACTGCCTTTACATTTTGAATAGCTCCACAAACTAATGTGTTTCCACACAGCTACTTCTCTGAAAAACTTCTCTTCTGAAGATCCCTGCAAGCAGAAGAGTACATATTACTTCCACTTAGTTCCAATTAAACAAATTGAGGCTTCAGTTTGATCTACTGAAAACAGCTTGCTCTCTGGGTAGTAGCACGAGCATATTTGAATTTTGTTATAAAATCTGTTCCCCCACCCTGTTATCTGAGCAACAAATGCTTCCTATATACTGGTTCATCTTTGTGTCTCTGATTAAATCATATTAACCTGTGTTAAAAAAAAAATTACCTAAACACTTGTTAAAGTTGGTAAGGCAGACTTTATTCAAGGCAGGGCCATGGCAGTGCGTAAAGACACCACTGCAACAGGGGCTGGCAGCTGGGGAGGAAGACTGGACTCAATTCCGACTCCCACAACGGCAAGTGGAGATGTATAGCCAAAGAGCAGGGTGGGGGTCAGTGGGTGGAAAGTTACCAAGAGGAAACATCCAGGATAAAGGGTTTCTGGCTAAACTGACTGCATAGCATTAGGCTGAAGGCAGGCCTGGGTTATAAGGGTGAGGATTTTTGCCAAGCCAACTTAGCAAGGTTCTTGCTCTAACAGGATTCTCCAAGGACAGAGGAAAGCTCAAATTCAGGCCTAGTCAAGCAGAAGACTCATGGCACGCAGCTCCCTCCAGCTTGGCCCTGTAAAACTTCCCTCCAGCCCTTCCCTCTTTGCAGACAGCCCCTTCTCTGCTGTGCTGCTGGGTGCAACAACGTTTCCACGCCTTCTGTGACAAACCTGCCTTTCTTTACCCGTAACTGTCTTGGTAAAAACCTTGACCATCCCCCATCCGAGAGGAGCCAGACTGCAGTTTTTGTCAAAGAGTCTCTGTCACCCAATTAAGTCAATTATAGACAGATTACTGTTTTTCTCTTTTCTCCAAATTAAAAAATTCTTTGAAATGCTTTTCTATGTCCATTTGGTTTTGTTTACTTGAAAATAAACCTTTCGTAGCTGAGTCCTGATGTCTGTGGAAAAGAATAATAAACCTTCCAACATATCTATTAAATGAATAGATATCTCAGCTATTTAATTGAAGAGACTGGCAGGAGGGGCAGCCAGGTGTCCCATTACACAGAACTTGCAACTCATACACCATCTAGGGGCCAAGGGAGAAACTTCCTCTTCGCCCTCTGAAGATTTGCTGAAAAATCAACTCACAAAAGGCAGGTTAATTGGAGAAAATGTCATGGGTGTGACTAGCTAGGGCCAGTGTCTCAGGCAGTCAAGGCTTTTACCAGCACAGTTATGGGTAAAGAAAGGCAGATTTGTTACAGAAGATATGAAAACATGTTGTTGCAACAGGCAGCACAGCAGCAAAGGGGCTGTCTGCAAGGAGCAGGGGCTGGAAGGAAGTTTTACAGGGTCCTGCGGGAGGGAGCTCCCTGCCAAATGAGGTCATTGTGCCCACCAGTTGTTTGTGACTTGCAGTGTCTCAGAACAATTGTTCATTGTTTTTCCCCACCTGGAGCCCCTTCCTCCTTGTTGCTTACTTATCAGGACAGAAAGGCATACAGGTTTGATACCAGTGGGCTGAGGGAGGTCGCCAAATTCTGGTGGGACCTCGACCCCACCCTGTGTCCGGGCTCTTAACACCATCAGGAGAAGGAATTAAAGGATGAGGCAGAAAATAGCAAAAGTAAAGAGATTTATTGCAAAGGGAAAAGTACACACTTAAGAAAGGAGAGTGCAGGTATACTCAAGAGAGAGTCTGGCCAGGCTCACGCCTGTAATCCCAACACTTTGGGAGGCCAAGATGGGCAGATCACCGGAGGTCAGGAGTTTGAGACCAGCCTGGCTAATATGGCGAAACCTCATCTCTACTAAAAATATAAAAATTATCAGGCATGGTTGTACATGCCTGTAATCCCAGCTACTTGGGAGGCTGAGGTAGGAGAATCGTTTGAACCCAGGAGGCAGAGGTTGCAGTGAATTGAGATTGCGCCACTGCACTCCAGCCTGAGTGACAGAGTGAGACTCCATCTCAAAAAAACAAAAACCAAACAGTCATGCAGCCTGGTGTAGGTTTCTATCTTTATGGGTTTCTTTAACCAAAGGGTGGAATATTCTTGAAAATTCCTGGAAAAAGGTGGCGATTTCTTGGAACTGTGGTGCTCCTCATTTTTATGCCAAATATGGGTGTTCTTGGAACTGTCATGGTGCTGGTGAGTGTGTGATTTAGTAAGTTAATGAGCATATAATGATGTCCTAGGTTTTTAAGCAGAAATTCAAAGTGTGTTTCCTGTAGGTTTGTTTTTTTTTTTGAGACAAGAGTCTCGCTCCGTCCTCACCCAGGCTGGAATGCAGTGACACAATCTTGGCTCACTACAACCTCCACCTCCTGGGTTCAAGTGATTCTCATGCCTCAGCCTCCCAAGTAGCTGGGATTACAGGCATGTAACACCATTCATGGCTAAATTGTGTGTGTGTGTGTGTGTGTGTGTGTGTGTGTATTAGCAAAGAAAGGGTTTTGCCATGTTGGTCAGGCCGGTCTCAAATTCCTGATCTCAAGTGATCCACCTGTTTCGGTCTCCTAAAGTGTTGGGATTATAGGCATGAGCCACTGCACCAGCTAGAAATTGTCCATTTTTACGCTTAAGTTCAACAAAGTGTGGACAGCCATATAGAAATATGATTGGACAAAAAGGGTATGATCTGATGCTAATAGACTGACTGGGAAACCCAGTACGGCCTGTCTAGATTCCTGTTGGCCTCACTGAGCACACATTCCTGCCTCTGGGTGTGGGGCAGGACCCTCTCTGGAACAGGAGTCTCATGACCTATAGTCTGACAAAGCATGCCAGATCATTTCCTTATGGCCAGTTTTTACACGGAAAGGTTGGGGAAAAGTTAGAGTAATATTTTTAGGTTTCACAGCTGGCATTAGGGAAGAGGGGTTCTGGTTTCTATGACCTGCCTTAGGGAAAGGGAATTCTGTGGCTGCCCTTGGGGAGAATGGGACTGTGAGACAAGAGGGCATGAAAAGCTCAGAGAAAAACTTTTGCTTCTGAGGCTTTCATTTTGGGGTGTTGGTTCCATTAGTAGAGCTTCAAGGCTTTTGAGCTGCTTCCTCGATGTATTGTAAGCAAATAGAGTTAGCACTTTGAAAAGCATGACATTGGCTTATTTCCTGTCAAAACAAACCCCTTGTCATTAAAAAATCTATGTCACAGCACATTAGATTCTTACATGTTTGCATTATATTTTATGGCAAAATTGCCACAAATAACTTAGAAGTTTAAAGAATGTTTTTCATAAGAAACTTCAAAACAAAACATGTTATTAAAATTTGGAATTTTTCTAAAGCTGTAGCCAACATATCTAGTCAGTTGTGTAACTTAGGAAGGAGCAAAACTGAGTTGTTTTTTTTAAAACAAAGTCTCACTCTGTTACCCAGGCTGGAGTGCCTAAATTTCTCCCAAAGTTAGCTTAGCCCATGCCCAGCAATGACCAAGAACAGTTTGGAGGTTAAAGGCAAGATAGAATTGGTTGGTTAGATCAGATCTCTTTCACTGTCATCATTTTCTCGCTGTTATAGTTTTTGCTAAGGAAGTTTCAAAAGTTTTTCCTTAGATACTATGAAAATGAAGGTTTCATTTAGTGTAGTAAAAATGAATTGAAATGTATTTTTTGTCTTCTCTTGAGGACAATCATATGTGAAAATTGCTTTATTCTAAATGTTACCTGAAGTTTATAAAACCAACGTGTTGCTGCCACGCCCCACCTGACCTTGCCTTACTTTGTCTTGTACGTAGAATTCCTGATGCCCCTAGCTTTTACCTCTGGAAACCTGTTGCTCTAAAATAGTGATTTCTTAATCACAGTTTTGTTATTTGTAATGAGAAAAATAATAGCCTGTCAATGTACATTATGAATACTACTGATTTCAGTATGCCAAATTGATTATTCTTGTTTGCACATCGCAGTTATGCAAAGGATTAAGTTACACCCCAGAATTGGAATAAAGAGAAATGGGCCCCTGAAATCTCCCCTCTTGCTTTCTTTCCAGAGTAGCTTATCTCCCACAGAAATCCAGCCAGACTTCGTGCCTGCCAGAATGTGTGGTTACAGTGGTGGCAGACTGTGATTTCAAATAAGCAAAATGTGTTAACAAATTAAGTTAGCTGTCAGCTACGTGGGTCTGAACCAGGAACCTAATGATGAAAATGGCTTATATCTCTATCCTACTGTGATTAGCATCTTGAGTCATCCTCTTCCTCCATCAGTAATTCCCTTTTCCTATTTCCTTCTCCTAGCACTCCAGTTCTCGCCTGAATTACCAAAGCAGCGTTCAGGGATCCTCTCAGTCCCAGAGCACACTTGGCTACTCTTCCTCGTCTCAGCAGAGCTCACAGTACCACCCATCTCACCAGGCCCACCGGTACTGACCAGCTCTCCTTGGGCCAGGCCAGCCCAGCCCAGCCCAGAGCACAGACTCCAGCAATATGTCTGCATTGAAAAGAACCAAAAAAATGCAAACTATGATGCCATTTAAAACTCACACACTCGGGAGGAAAACCTTATATACTGAGCATTTTGCAGGACAGATATCTCTTCTTTATTGACTTAAAGAAGATTCTTGTGAAGTTTCCCAGCACCCCTTCCCTGCATGTATTTCATTGTGACTTCTCTGATAAAGCGTCTGATCTAATCCCAGCACTTCTGTAACCTTCAGCATTTTTTTTGAAGGATTTCCTGGTGCACCTTTCTCATGCTGTAGCAATCACTATGGTTTATCTTTTCAAAGCTCTTTTAATAGGATTTTAATGTTTTAGAAACAGGATTCCAGTGGTGTATAGTTTTATACTTCATGAACTGATTTAGCAACACAGGTAAAAATGCACCTTTTCAAGCACTACGTTTTCACAGACAATAACTGTTCTGCTCATGGAAGTCTTAAACAGAAACTGTTACTGTCCCAAAGTACTTTACTATTAGGTTTTTATTTATCTAGTTTCAGGGAAGTTCTAATAAAAAGACAAATGGTGGGACAGAGGGAACCTACAACCAAAAACTGCCTAGATCTTTGCAGTTACTATGCTTTATGCTATGAAGAACTGAAGTTTGCGGTATTTTTTATATAATCATTCATATGGAACTGAGTTCCCAGCATCATCTTATTCTGAATAGCATTCAGTAATTATGAATTATAATTTTAACCTTCAAGTAGCTAAGTCTACCTTAAAAAGGGTTTCAAGAGCTTTGATGAAATATAGTCTCTGATGGCCCACACCAAATCAACTGCACTAGGATTTCTTTAAGGAGTAATTTTGATCAAAAGATGTGTTACTTCCCTTTGAAGGAAAAGCTTTTAGTGTGTATTGTACATAAAGTTGGCTTCTCTAAAGAACTGCTGGTTTCTTCACATCTGGGTCTGCATGAGTAACTTTTTTACATAATCAAGGGTACTCAAGTAGAAGCCTGCAAATTAATCTGCTTTTAAAATAAAGAGCAGTATTCTCCATTCATATTTGCATTAGACATAGAGTGACTATTTTTAAAGCATGTTAAAAGTTTAGGTTTTATTCATGTTAAAGTATGTATTATGTATGCATAATTTTGCTGTTGTTAGTGAAACTTAATTCTATCAAGAATCTTTTCATTGCACTGAATGATTTCTTTTGCCCCTAGGAGGAAACTTAATAATTGTGCCTAAAAACTATGGGCAGATAGTATAAGACTATACTAGACAAAGTGAATATTTGCATTTCCATTATCTATGAATTAGTGGCGGAGTTCTTTCTTAGCCGCTTTAAGGAGCCCCTCACTCCCCAGAGTCGAAAGGAAATGTAAAGACTTAGAGCTCCCATTGTAATGTAAGGGGCAAAAAAATTGTGTTCTTCTGAATGCTACTAGCAGCACCAGCCTTGTTTTAAGTGTTTTCTTGAGCTAGAAGAAATACCTGATTGTTGTATATGCAAATTACATGCATTTTTTAAAACTATTCTTTGTGAACTTATCTACCTGGTTATGATACTCTGGGTCCATACACAAGTAAAATAAGATTAAACAGAAGCCAGTATACATTTTGCACTATTGATGTGATACTGTAGCCAGTCAGGACCTTACTGATCTCAGCATAATAATGCTCACTAATAATAATAAAATCTGCATAGTGACACACATCAAGACTGAAGATGAAGCAGGTTACATGCTCCATTGGAAGGAGTTTCTGACAGTCTCCTGCTGTTTTACCCCTTCCATTTTTTTAAATAAGAAATTAGCAGCCCTCTGCATAATGTAGCTGCCTATATGCAGTTTTATCTTGTGCCCTACAGCCTCACTGTCCAGTGCTGTTGGTCATCAGATGCTCACTGCACCCTCACCGTGTGCCCAGTGCCCTGTGGGGTAGAGAACACAGAGGACAGCGCATACTTCTTGTCCTTAAGGAGCTTGTGATTTGTTCTGTGACAGTAAGCCCTCCTGGATGTCTGTGCCATGTGACTGACTTATAAGTGAAACCGTCTTATAATATGAAGGTCTTTTTGTTTACTTCTAAACCCACTTGGGTAGTTACTATCCCCAGATCTGTTCTGTAAATAATATTATGGAAGGGTTTCTATGTCAGTCTACCTTAGAAAAAGCCAGTGATTAAATATCACAAAAGGCATCCATGCATCTTTGAAATGTTCACAGCAGAATTTTAACAGCAATTGGGTGCTCCTTGCAGGCAGAACATACTCTACTAAGTGGTTGTAGGAAATTGCAAGGAAAATAGCAGCTCTGTTTCTGCTCTCAAGGGAGATTACCTTTAATAAGAGAAGACAAACCCCGATAGACACATAAACCAAAATACTGTGCCCCTGAATACTTTATAAGCAGCTTTGTTAAATAGTTCTTATGTTTATACATTCACAGGACTACCCTGCTTTCCTTGTATATAATTACTTTTACTGGCAGAACGGAAATAGAAACCGTACGGGGATTTCGTCATTTGCTCCCAGTATACGATACCCTGCAGGACATAGCAGAACTCTCCGTTCCACACCTGCCTGGGTTCCTGTCCCTGCACTGGCGCTGGCTCTTTTCCTCTTTCCTTGCCTCAGGGTTAGTGCTACCCACTGATTCCCTTTATCCTTAGAAATAATTGTAGATCATTTTCTTTCTCTTT